TTATGAAAAACTGACTTTTTAATGTCTTTTCTCCTGGTGCGCCTGCCGGTGGTGACCCGTCAAGAGTGAAATTCAACAACATAGTAAATCTTTTGTTATATGCCTATCGGAAAATGTTTCTGTGAGCAAGCCGTTCGGAATTTCCGCCCCGTCATCGACTAATTTATGCCAAACTAACCCCGCGCCGAGTTTTTCCACTCGTGACATGGGGAAGCTGGGCCAGGTGAAAGTCCACAGCCACTTTGGAGTGACAGTCAGTCTGGCTGTCAGACTCCATTGTATGAAACGTTATCCCGCAGAGGCACAATCATGCAGAAATAAGCACGTGCCGCACGGGGGTGTGACGCACCTGCTGTCACGCCAAAGCCAAAAAAGAAAGCGTCGCTGCAGTGCGTTTTGTTCGGCGGACAGATTCGCGTTCGCTTCTCAAAAGGAGCACTTGACTTGATTGCTAGGGGAAGTTGTCAACCAAGTTGTGAGTGTATTTGAAATGCTTTCATTAGCCTGTGTGCACACTTTCCTTTCCTTTTGCGTCGGTTATTAGAATCCGAGAGAGGCGCTTCATGCGTGCTGGTGTGGAAGTCAAGGTAGGAGGCCAGCAAAACAAAAACACATCGATTGACGACATCGATCTTGACCTCGCAACAAAAGCAAATGTCAATTCCCAATTCGACACCGCGTCGACAAATGAATGTCGTGAGCAACGTAGGGCTGCTTGCACCCGCTAAGACCACACCCCTGTTCCCGGACGAGTGAATAGATAGGAGAATAAATTGGGAATTGCGGCCGCTTGCGTTAAAGCTCCAAGCTCGCTTTGCTCACGGAGCAGCGGGAGCAGAGAAGAAATGTCATCGGATGCGATGCCGCAGGGCAACGTGGCATGCTGGGAGGGCATTAGCGGTGGCGCAAGCTGCGTTTTTGTCAACCCGGTCCTCCAACCGAGAGTGTCTGATGGCACACACGTTGCTTTTTCCCCCTCAGCTCGAATGTGTTCACACCAGTTCATCGTAGACACACGACGGATTCATATCAATCGGGAGTGCTGCATATTGGATTTCAGGTATGACACCCCTGGCAGTCAGGTGCGACGCAATCATGAAATAATCAACAAGGACGCTTAAAAATACACCAATCGTCATAACTAAAAATATTTTAAATCAAATCAAACAATGGGAAGTGCATTTGTGCTCAGCCTGTAAAACATCAAGGTGCACTCTGGGGCGCTGTGTCATTTGAGGGGGAAAATAAAGTGTTTGTGAAGGAGCGCGGACATGCGCCAAGGCCATTGTGAAATAAATTGCTTTTACTCTTGCCGTGTTAAACAGATCTGCCCAAGTATGTTATGTTTGGTGCTCCAGCCCTTGTCCTAGTTTGAAGGCGGGTCTTTCGTTTTGCAAGGGGGGCGGCTCTCTGAGACAAGAGAGGAAACAACATAACCTCCAAGGACTACTCATGCACGGTGTGTGTACTGAATACGAAATGACTTTAGTGAAATAATCAAAAGCACTTCTAAAGTGCAGTGCTAAAGTAGCCCGTGTTGATTTGGAGCCAAATCCAAATGCGGATTAAAATGGTGTTTGTATCTCTGAAGCTATGGTTTCATCAACACTTTTTTTTTTCATTGTCATGTCAAAAATTGGGAAGCATGCCGACATGAAACCTGGTTTACTTGAGGGATTTTTACTGTAAAAGAAACAAAGAGAGACAAAATGGGGCGGCCCGGCGGTCCAGTGGTTTGCGCTCAAAGTGCAGATATCGTATGTAATCGAGTACTCTGACTTACTTGTGCGAATAGCCATCGGCGGTGGTCGTGAGGTTGATCTGCATGAGCATCTGGAACTCGGTGTCGTTGCAGCAGTACTTGAAGGCCGTGTTGTTGTGGTGGCAGCAGAACATGTACGTCTTGTTGTCCGACAGTCGGGGGCAGTGGAAGCCAAAGTGGTAGCGCCCCTTGTGGTCGGAGTAGGGCTCGCACACCCGGTAGTGAGCTGAAAGTGCTGCAAAAGAGGCGAGAACAAAAAGCCCCACAAAAAAACGATCAAATGGAGTGTTGTGTCCATCATATATTGTCAACTTTGTGTAGATTGTTTAAAATTGTGGGTGTGTGTTGGGGGGAGCATAATATTTCTCATTTATGCGTAATTCAATTGATGTTTGTTGTTGCTTTTATCCCCAGATTTCAATAGGCAGCCCAAGAATGAAATGAAGGTCCACTTTCAAATGCAGACGATCGGCGTCTTCAGTAGATCAGCATTTCAAAAGAGGTTGTAATCTGCTTGATGCGGTACAACCACCTTCAGCCTCGACGAGGGCAATGTCGCCATGAAAGAGAAAAGTGAGCTCAGCGGCGAGAGAGGAAGGATGAGCGCAGCCACATAAAGCGTTTCGTTCGACCTTTATGCACGCTCCACATGTTGCGGACGATGGAACAAGACTCATTTGCAGCTTTGCGTCCTATAAATCCTGGCGCATAAAAAAAGAAGGCTGAGCCAGCAAAAGTGGATGATAAAGTCTATTAATGAGGGTTGTTAAAGGAAGTGTCAAAATGGCTCCTTGAGTGGACACCAGCTGCTTTGTCATGTACCTGTTTAATTTCTTCAAACGCGCTTTTAAAATTTGGTTAACTTGACACAACCCAAAACATTTTTTTTTTTAATTTTCAAACAAATAACCTCCATTCATGTGAATTTGAGGTGGAAACAAATTGGGCCATTTTCTTCATGCAATTGAGCTAAATGTTATTACTCAGCCCATTTCTACAACGAAATAGAGGATCTAGCTAGCTAGCTGTGTGGAACCGTCAAAAAAAACCTTCATCCCTGGATGTCATAAGTTACAGAACAGTTCAACTTTGTTCTTCAACCCACTTAAGCGTGGAGGTGACGCTGTAAATGAGCTTGCCGCCTGTGAGGGACCCCACAAGCCTGTTAGCTCGCAAGCTAGCTGTGGCGAGCTACAAGCTTTCAGAGCGGCTTGATTTTTAGGCCTAATTTTTAGGGCTGCCAAAATGTAAGTGTTAACTTTGGAGATTAAATTATTTACAGCGTTAAGACATTTTTTACTCGGTTAACACAGCTTAATTTATTTCATGTTAGTTGCTTCCAGCCAAACCTAGAGGACTCGCTAACACAGCAGTAGTCATAGTTTTTCCTTTTAACTTTACTTGCTTGACGGCTGTCGGGAGAAATCTGTTGTCATTTGCGGCCCTTGCAAAGCCAAATTCAAACATCGGATTAGTCGTATATCTTTAGCCCATGTCAATTTTAGGTTAGCTTAGCGTTAAGCGTGGTCTTTTTTCGTCATCCTTTCGTGAGTATGATACTTGTCCGAAATGTAACTTGTTCGCCGCCACGCTGCCGATCACTCTAGGTTAATTGAAGACTAAAATAGCCCATGCATGTTAAGTTGATCAGCGCAATCTAAAATGAACGGGAAAGGCCTCAAAACTGCAATTTCAAGGGGACCCTTCACCGCATTCTCAGTCTTAGAAAAAATAAAATAAAATCGTGTCAACCTGCAGTGGACAGCAGCAGGAAGATGACCGCCAGGACATTCAAGGACTGCCGACTGGTGATAGTCATCTTCTCGCGGTCATGTGGAAAAGGAGGGAGGCTGCAGGAGGCAGGGAGCTCGGCTGGGACCGAGGTAGAGGGGAGCTGCTTCAGCTTGAGCAGGACCTGGTCATGAAAAAATAAAATAAAATCGTGTCAACCTGCAGTGGACAGCAGCAGGAAGATGACCGCCAGGACATTCAAGGACTGCCGACTGGTGATAGTCATCTTCTCGCGGTCATGTGGAAAAGGAGGGAGGCTGCAGGAGGCAGGGAGCTCGGCTGGGACCGAGGTAGAGGGGAGCTGCTTCAGCTTGAGCAGGACCTGGTCATCCTGTGCATGCTGAGAGCTCCTCTCACATGTTCGATGATGATGATGAGAATGCCGCTGCTGCTGCTGCTGCTGGAGGTCAGGACCCCTGTTGGGAACAAGACATGCAAGACAAAGAGGAGATTAGGAGATTGTGTTTGGTCTTTCTCGTGGCTTGAAATGTTGATGATTTGTTTGAAAATCTTTTTCTTGTTCAAATGATGAGGATCCTTATCAAGCTTCTGCAAGGCTTGCGGATGAGCGGAAAATCGGGTGTGTTGGAGGAGGGAGGCATCGAAAACAAGAGGACCGGACTTGGGCACTCCTGTAGTAAAATCTTATTTCTTAAAGCGTAGGCAAGCAATGTATTCAAACTGTGAAAAAAAAAACCCAAAACATTTAGTAGCGTATAGCAAAAGCCTGGTTTCCGCTTCCTTTGTTCTTTTGAATTGGAACGTAGCTGCAATACGGTATAATGATAGCAACAAGCCATTTCACGTATAGCTCGTCAATATGAAATATGAGAAAAGGACATTGAAACTTTTAATCGGCATTTTACTCTGCCTATTTGAGAGAGTAAGAATTGGAAGCATCAAGTATACCTGGCTTCTATTTTCAGAATATTTCACGACTATTTCTGACGTGCTCCTTCAGTGCATGTGCAGTAAAGGGCCGAGGGGGGCATCTCAAGATGAGTGCTTCCTCCACCCGCGTGCACTGTAGTTACTGTAAAACCCGTGTTGTGAATAATTGAGGAGCACCCGTCTGAAAAGAGGGAACACTTTTATTTTTGTCCTTAAAAGTTCTGCGGTTGCATCAGCGCTCGCTGCCGTTTCGTCACCGCGCGCCTGAGAAACAAGCGCTCCATGCGAAGGCAGAACGGGCGAACACGACGCGGAGGTTTGTTTTGGAGCGCGGCGCCGCACGGAGGAGGGCGAGAGGTTAGGAACGACGAGAGCAGAGACAGGAAGTTAAAATACTTCGATGAGGGAATATTTTTCGGAGGTCACGAGGGCCAGCTTCTATTTTTTTTAAAATTTACAGTCTTAGCTTGTGGTCAAAGTAATGAGATCTTTAAATCTGCGTATGTAAAAATATGCAAGACTCAGGAGACGGCAGCACGGTGGCTGCTTCAAAGTTCTGAGTTCGAACCTCGGGACAGCATTTTAATTCATATCTCAAGGCACAACTGTATTTCTTTTTCAATGATGTCCTCCGGGAGGAGAAGAAAAAAATTCCACTGAACTTGAACATAATGCTCATTTCTTATGAGTTATAGCATCAGGGCAGCAGCACAACATTAAAGGTGAAGTACGTCTGCATGACTTCGAATGCTAATGAAAAATGTACCTTATTAATGGAGCGCGCTCAAGGAAATTAAAGTTCGATCTGTTCCAGCTCCCGCGGACTGCCTTATCAAAAGAACATGAGCTGATAGCTTCAACCAACACATATGCAAACACGCGCGCGGGCACGCACACAAAGCCTCCCGCGCATCGGCCTGTCCCGCTCAAATTAAAAAAACACGCCAGATTAGACAAGCTGTCCCGTCCTCTAAAAGGCAGGCAGCTGACATCCCGGGAGACTCGTTACGGTAGCATTTGGGATATTTTTACCCCCTCTTTCCCTCCGTGTGCCCATCACTCCATCCATCCGTCATAGTTCTTGACACTATTTTACCTTGATTTCAAAACGAGATAAAATCAACAAAGAAATATCCAGGAAGGCCCAAAATACCAGTTTGGCCTAATTACAGCATTTTAGGCATTAATCCTACGATATTCTTGATCTGATTTTTTTGCTTGTTCATTAGCGGCGATATCCACGCAGAATGATGGAATGTGGCGGCCCGGTGGTTCAAAAAAAAAAAAACCTAGATGAAAAAGTTAAGACATTTTTTTATTATCAAAAATACATTTGGGGACACATAAAGTCATCGCTGATACAAATTTCCTGGCTGTTACCAAGGTGATTTGTGAAACCCTTACCGGTTTTATATTATGGGATAGCGGCCCTCTCCGTGCACCCCACAGTGACTCACCATGCGCTGGACGTGTTGTGGGGCAGCAGCGTGGGGCTGTGGCTCTCCCCTCGGAGGCTCTGTCGAGGCTGGTAGAGGCCGGGCACCGTGGGCGGAGCCTGGGCCTGGCCCTCGTCCTCCATGGAGCGTTGCCACTGACTGCGGGCCTTCTTCAGCCAGCGGCCGCCCAGCCCCCATTTTTCCAGGTAGACCCGGCAAAGCTCATAATTGATGGCCGAGTAGTAGAGGAAGTCCAGAGCCAGCAGCACCATGACGAAGAAGCCGTAGATCCACACTCCCACCAGCGCCGTGTAATTACTGCATACAAATGGACGCATTACACTCTGGATGTTTAACGGGGCGTATTATGGAAAACGGACATTTTAATGGCTTGTCTACTGGTGCGCCTGCCGGTGGTGACCCGTCAAGAGTGAAATTCAACAACATAGTAAATCTTTTGTTATATGCCTATCGGAAAATGTTTCTGTGAGCAAGCCGTTCGGAATTTCCGCCCCGTCATCGACTAATTTATGCCAAACTAACCCCGCGCCGAGTTTTTCCACTCGTGACATGGGGAAGCTGGGCCAGGTGAAAGTCCACAGCCACTTTGGAGTGACAGTCAGTCTGGCTGTCAGACTCCATTGTATGAAACGTTATCCCGCAGAGGCACAATCATGCAGAAATAAGCACGTGCCGCACGGGGGTGTGACGCACCTGCTGTCACGCCAAAGCCAAAAAAGAAAGCGTCGCTGCAGTGCGTTTTGTTCGGCGGACAGATTCGCGTTCGCTTCTCAAAAGGAGCACTTGACTTGATTGCTAGGGGAAGTTGTCAACCAAGTTGTGAGTGTATTTGAAATGCTTTCATTAGCCTGTGTGCACACTTTCCTTTCCTTTTGCGTCGGTTATTAGAATCCGAGAGAGGCGCTTCATGCGTGCTGGTGTGGAAGTCAAGGTAGGAGGCCAGCAAAACAAAAACACATCGATTGACGACATCGATCTTGACCTCGCAACAAAAGCAAATGTCAATTCCCAATTCGACACCGCGTCGACAAATGAATGTCGTGAGCAACGTAGGGCTGCTTGCACCCGCTAAGACCACACCCCTGTTCCCGGACGAGTGAATAGATAGGAGAATAAATTGGGAATTGCGGCCGCTTGCGTTAAAGCTCCAAGCTCGCTTTGCTCACGCAGCAGCGGGAGCAGAGAAGAAATGTCATCGGATGCGATGCCGCAGGGCAACGTGGCATGCTGGGAGGGCATTAGCGGTGGCGCAAGCTGCGTTTTTGTCAACCCGGTCCTCCAACCGAGAGTGTCTGATGGCACACACGTTGCTTTTTCCCCCTCAGCTCGAATGTGTTCACACCAGTTCATCGTAGACACACGACGGATTCATATCAATCGGGAGTGCTGCATATTGGATTTCAGGTATGACACCCCTGGCAGTCAGGTGCGACGCAATCATGAAATAATCAACAAGGACGCTTAAAAATACACCAATCGTCATAACTAAAAATATTTTAAATCAAATCAAACAATGGGAAGTGCATTTGTGCTCAGCCTGTAAAACATCAAGGTGCACTCTGGGGCGCTGTGTCATTTGAGGGGGAAAATAAAGTGTTTGTGAAGGAGCGCGGACATGCGCCAAGGCCATTGTGAAATAAATTGCTTTTACTCTTGCCGTGTTAAACAGATCTGCCCAAGTATGTTATGTTTGGTGCTCCAGCCCTTGTCCTAGTTTGAAGGCGGGTCTTTCGTTTTGCAAGGGGGGCGGCTCTCTGAGACAAGAGAGGAAACAACATAACCTCCAAGGACTACTCATGCACGGTGTGTGTACTGAATACGAAATGACTTTAGTGAAATAATCAAAAGCACTTCTAAAGTGCAGTGCTAAAGTAGCCCGTGTTGATTCGGAGCCAAATCCAAATGCGGATTAAAATGGTGTTTGTATCTCTGAAGCTATGGTTTCATCAACACTTTTTTTTTTCATTGTCATGTCAAAAATTGGGAAGCATGCCGACATGAAACCTGGTTTACTTGAGGGATTTTTACTGTAAAAGAAACAAAGAGAGACAAAATGGGGCGGCCCGGCGGTCCAGTGGTTTGCGCTCAAAGTGCAGATATCGTATGTAATCGAGTACTCTGACTTACTTGTGCGAATAGCCATCGGCGGTGGTCGTGAGGTTGATCTGCATGAGCATCTGGAACTCGGTGTCGTTGCAGCAGTACTTGAAGGCCGTGTTGTTGTGGTGGCAGCAGAACATGTACGTCTTGTTGTCCGACAGTCGGGGGCAGTGGAAGCCAAAGTGGTAGCGCCCCTTGTGGTCGGAGTAGGGCTCGCACACCCGGTAGTGAGCTGAAAGTGCTGCAAAAGAGGCGAGAACAAAAAGCCCCACAAAAAAACGATCAAATGGAGTGTTGTGTCCATCATATATTGTCAACTTTGTGTAGATTGTTTAAAATTGTGGGTGTGTGTTGGGGGGAGCATAATATTTCTCATTTATGCGTAATTCAATTGATGTTTGTTGTTGCTTTTATCCCCAGATTTCAATAGGCAGCCCAAGAATGAAATGAAGGTCCACTTTCAAATGCAGACGATCGGCGTCTTCAGTAGATCAGCATTTCAAAAGAGGTTGTAATCTGCTTGATGCGGTACAACCACCTTCAGCCTCGACGAGGGCAATGTCGCCATGAAAGAGAAAAGTGAGCTCAGCGGCGAGAGAGGAAGGATGAGCGCAGCCACATAAAGCGTTTCGTTCGACCTTTATGCACGCTCCACATGTTGCGGACGATGGAACAAGACTCATTTGCAGCTTTGCGTCCTATAAATCCTGGCGCATAAAAAAAGAAGGCTGAGCCAGCAAAAGTGGATGATAAAGTCTATTAATGAGGGTTGTTAAAGGAAGTGTCAAAATGGCTCCTTGAGTGGACACCAGCTGCTTTGTCATGTACCTGTTTAATTTCTTCAAACGCGCTTTTAAAATTTGGTTAACTTGACACAACCCAAAACATTTTTTTTTTTAATTTTCAAACAAATAACCTCCATTCATGTGAATTTGAGGTGGAAACAAATTGGGCCATTTTCTTCATGCAATTGAGCTAAATGTTATTACTCAGCCCATTTCTACAACGAAATAGAGGATCTAGCTAGCTAGCTGTGTGGAACCGTCAAAAAAAACCTTCATCCCTGGATGTCATAAGTTACAGAACAGTTCAACTTTGTTCTTCAACCCACTTAAGCGTGGAGGTGACGCTGTAAATGAGCTTGCCGCCTGTGAGGGACCCCACAAGCCTGTTAGCTCGCAAGCTAGCTGTGGCGAGATACAAGCTTTCAGAGCGGCTTGATTTTTAGGCCTAATTTTTAGGGCTGCCAAAATGTAAGTGTTAACTTTGGAGATTAAATTATTTACAGCGTTAAGACATTTTTTACTCGGTTAACACAGCTTAATTTATTTCATGTTAGTTGCTTCCAGCCAAACCTAGAGGACTCGCTAACACAGCAGTAGTCATAGTTTTTCCTTTTAACTTTACTTGCTTGACGGCTGTCGGGAGAAATCTGTTGTCATTTGCGGCCCTTGCAAAGCCAAATTCAAACATCGGATTAGTCGTATATCTTTAGCCCATGTCAATTTTAGGTTAGCTTAGCGTTAAGCGTGGTCTTTTTTCGTCATCCTTTCGTGAGCATGATACTTGTCCGAAATGTAACTTGTTCGCC